GCACGCTCAGCTGGACAAGACTGGGGCAGAGAGAGGTGTTTCTCTGTTTCCTATGTGCCTGCTTTGACAGAAAAACAACTTTTATCCAGCCTGAAAGACTGTCAGAAGTGTCACTGGCCAGGATTCGGAGCCTCTTTTTTCAAACGCCCAGCTGTGTCACAACCATCACATGGGACTTGATAAATTTTTCATGCCAGAATTAATCAATTTCAGTGGGCAGTTTTCCTCTCTGGCATGTATCCTGCCTCCCTGGGGCACTTCATCTGTCACAGACAAACGAGATGGGGATTTGTGGAAGTGCTAGTGGGGTGGCTCTTCTCAGACCCATCAAACTGCGTGTGCATATGTCAGGTCAGGAATTTTTGGGTCTCCCGGGATGTGTGTGGGGCTTTCCAGAGGGGAGTGCCTTCTCTGGGCACATAGGCAACTGCTTATTTTGGTGGTGTGGTGGTTTAACCCCAGCTGTAAAATAAGTCACATGCAACTGCTCGCTTATTCCACCACCAGCCCCACCCCCGGTGGTAGGTAGAATCAGAGGAAAAAAGTTAAACTCATGGGTTGAGATACCAACAATAACTGAAACAAAACAAAATATAATAATATAATAGTGAGAGGTTATAATAATGAGACAGAGAGAGAGATACAATCCAAGATAAGAAGTGATACCCAATGCAGTGGATCACCACCCACTGACTGAAGCATAGCCCATCTCCAAGCAGCGATTGGCACCTTCCAGATAACTGTCTCCAGTTTATATAGTGGGCAGGATGCTCTGTGGGATGGAATATCTCCTTGGCCTGTTTGGGTCAGCTGTCCTGGCCCTGGCTCCTTTCCAGTCATTTATGCACCTGCTCACTGGCAGAGCCTGGGAAGCTGAAAAGTCCTTGACTTAGGGTAAGCACTACTTAGCAACGACTAAAACATCAGTGTGTTATCAACATATTCTCAGGCCGAATTCAAAACACAGCACTGTACCAGCTACCGGGAATAAAACTAACTCTATTCTAGCCTAAACCAGGACAGATTGGTTTTTTGGAGCTAATGATTTAAATGTAGTGTGCATTCCTTTTATCATGAACAGACACAGCTCGAGAAGTGGAAATGTACTGGAAATATACTATTTATGAAAAGTATGACATACAGTAGGGATTAATAAAATAGATTATTTACCCTATAAATACTGAAACAAGAAAAACACTTATTTGTGAGAGAGATTATTGCAGTGCTCATAATCCAAGCAGCACAATAGGAAAGGAAATATAAATGAGGCATTTAGTTCTTGCCTTGCGCATATTATATTTCATTATATTATATTATATTCCCACACATATTTTATAAACCAGAAAAGTATATTAAAAAATAGACCAATTATGCTTCTGATACATGTAAGCATGAAGATAAAATTGTAGTCAGAATAATTCCAATCAAACTATATTCTTTGTTTATTTATTCTTTTCTTTCTAGCACTACTAATGTCAAAAGTTTCAGCTTGAAACATGGCTGATAATGAAACATTCACAGAATCTTTTTCAGAGGCTGGAAACCTCACGCTTGGAATAATTTCTGCTTTGGAATGTCTGTAATATATTGAAGCCTTAATACCATTCTAATTGGGACCTTACTAATTAGCCTGTGACTAGAATTTTAATTAGATGCACAATAGGTGTTCTCCCTACCTGCAGTGGAGGAGCTGTTTCCTGGGAAGAAGAGTGAAGGGAAAAAGATAGTGAAAGGAATCCATAGAAGACAAATATAATCTAATCCCTACTATGAGAAATGTGTACATTAATTAATATTTTTCAAAATCATATCTCTGGAAATGGCTTCTGTTTGGTAAAGCACAAAAAAGTTTGCTTTGTGATTTGCTTTTCTCCCATGTAGAACAAATTGTACTTTTTTTATCTGTGACGTGGCGTGTGCTGTGAGCAAACTGAGAAATAGTGGGACATGACTGTAGTTAATTAGCTCAGGGCCAGCAGCAGGGACTGAGGTGAGCACATCAGGGGCTCAAGGCAGGAGTCTGTAATCTGAGTTGGAAGAGTAGAGCTGTGTACCTGGGTCACAGGGGACAAGGCTGAAAAGGGAGATGCCCAGCACCTTGACAATGGCATTAGTTGAGCCTGGGCTGTAGCACATTCTGGAGTTAAAAATGCATGTGAAAAGCTTGGAAGGTGCAGCTGAATGAATTCCTGTCAGTGGCAACTCAGAAGTACCAATACTCTGGTAGATGAGGAAAAGATAGGAAAGAGGGAGAGAATGTATCTGTCTGAAAATACTGCCACCACTAATGTTCTCATTAGCCTAATGGCATATACTCTGTTACAGAGAATTTTAGGATTGTCATTTGGGGTGAAGGCTTTTTTAAAATCTGCAAAATATCTAGGGCAAGAAGAGTCCTAAAAACATAAATATGAAGTTCCTTCCTTCTCCAAGGAAGCCTGAGTTGCGTGTTTATAAATATAAAGTTATTTGTCTGGCCTGGTAATCCCCATAAGCCCCAGCAGTGAAAAGAGTGATTCAATTTCAGAAGATAATGGGACATTCTGAAAAATTATGATCAGGTCCATGGAACATTTTTATACGAGGAGAAATAAACAGTAAAAGTAAAGTGAGGATGAATTGCAGAAAACCAGTTAAAGAATTATTATTTGTTTCCCCCACTAAAGGGAAATTTTTAGAACAGACTCTCTGAAGGGAGTGGAAAACATACTGTACAATTTGCATTATTTGAAAAATACTTTTTGTTACTTAATTTTGACTGGGAAGATTCTTCCTCATGGTGAGTAAGGTCACAGGTGAGCTACATTCCTTGCTCTTCAAGATATTTAAAAGCAATAGCTAAGGAATATTTTTCTCCAGGTGGCAATATGAGACAAGTGAGAATAAAGTTGCACCCCTTATGTTTTCGATAAAATTTGTAGCAATCACTCTAAGTAATTACTTCACAGATGTTAGAGAACATTGGTGGAATGAAAACAGCAAATTATTAACTGGAGAAACATCTGTAAGATTTAAATGTCAGTTGTGTCAAGATGTGGAAGATGATGTCATCCTTGTGCCAAAATTAAATTAACCCAATCTCAGTCAAATAACACAAATAGTATGTGGTCTGAAAACAAGTTGCACATTGTTTGAGGAATAATGCTGAATATAGAAGAGAAATTATCACCTATAACCAACTCTACAAGAAATAAGTATTAATAAAAAATTGTGTTTTTTCTGAAGTATTCACTCAACTGCTCTGCCTAGTTAGTAAAAGATGTTATCTTTTCAAAGGTCTTTATTAACCCACCTGTCCTACAAGATATGGTCATTTCCCATGTCAAATTTATTTCCTACTATGAGTTTCATTAGAAACAGAAGGGAGTGGGGAACTCAAGCCATGATTAGTGGAATTATACTGCTTTTAATCCTTTATGGGCAGAGATTTAAGGCTGATTCATGTAAAAAACATACTACTTCTTGCTGCCTAATTAAGATGCTGGTTGGGCCTGGTGTATCTTGAGGTATCTCATTTTGCAGGGAGGTTTGAGTCTTCCCTGACACCTCCAAGCTAGGAAGACACCAACTATCTCAGATCAGAGGCTGAGTGATATATTAGCTCAGACTTAATGCCATTCTGCACACATCCCTATCACTCCCAGACAAATGGAAGCGTACTTGAATATGAGGTGAACTTGAATATCCCTGCAAAGAGGCTGCATCCATACCCTTTGTCCACTTCCTGGTGGGACTGCTGCTCACATCACAAAATGTCCACCATAGATAGCAGTTTAGCAGAGTCTTTATCAGTACTCTGAGAATTGAAAAGGCTCCTCGGGAAAAAAGCAATTATAATGTAGCACTACTTCATTTGAACAGTGCATTTTGAAAGGGGAAAAAAAAAAGCCACACAACAAAACACCTCATATGTGATTGCCTTTCTGTTTTGGGAAATAAAAGGAAACTGGTTTTCTGTCTTGAGTTCTTTGATGATGGTAGACTTCAGCATCCAGTACTTTTATCCTTCTTGTTGTATACATATGGAGGTTTGCTATGTGATACGGTGCAATATTTTTGATTGCAGGCTTCTACAGAACATCTCCTTTATAACCTTGGTAGTGTGATGTTATTTTACATAGTCTAGTTGACATGAGGATGTAGATTAAAATGCAGGTCAGAAGTTCTAACCAGGCTTGGCAGGCAGGAAAGGATATTGGTTCGACAGGGTAATTACCCATAGGAAGTGGTGATGCTGACACTAGTTTTAATTTTTTGAGTGCTGCTAAAGATGTTTATCTTCACTCTGAAAGCTTTAGTCTTTTATGGTTTGAATGCTGGCTGTGAGAGAAGCTGTCACTTTTCTCTCTGCTCTATCCAACAGTAGTGCTCTTCAAAATAGTCGAAAGATTTTTTCATCTGAAAGCAGAAGGAAAATATATTCTTACTTCTGAGCCTTTTTGTGAAACTCGTTTAATCAGAGATATACTGTCCTGAATTTGAATGAATATTGGGAGAGTGTTTGCTTGGGTAAATAACATGTATTATGTTACAGAGTAGAGATTTAATTGCTGTTGTTCGTAATTTTTTTTGTCTCCTCCACATAGAATTGGCTAGAACATAGTTTTCAAGACTACAAAATAATATCCGAATATTTTATGATTTCTTCTCTCTTACATAATTTAAACTGAGGATTCCTTATTTAAGAAAACCTAAAATGAATTTCAGAGCTTGTGTTATGTAAGCCAGTTAGTTACATCAAGCAGAAAAACTGAACACTGCCTTTGGGAGAGAGGGGCGGGGGGGGAAACAAATGCTTGAAAGCAGAGTCAGAGAATGGAGGACAGTTTGGGGACCAGGTTCTCCACAAACCACACCACAGAGAGGCTGGCAAAAGGCATTGGATACACGTGGAGCACCAGTCAACCTCAAAGGTTCTTCAGGATCAATTTTGGATGCCTGTGTACATATGTTCAGTCTGGGAATAATACTTAATGTTTTCATATGATTTTGTCTTCCAGAATGATTGAAGATTGTGGGAAAAGAGGAAATACCATGGCAGAAAGAAGGCAGCTGTTTGCAGAAATGCGTAAGTACTTCCTGGAAATGTTTTGCTGTGATAGACCAAGCCAGTTGCTATGCAATGTCAGTAAAATTTATGCAAGCTTTCCACCTCAAATCTCCATTGCATAAATGAGTATCATGAGACCAAAACCGCATTAAAATGGGCTGATTTGACCAAAGCAGGAAAGAGGGGTTTTCTACGTCAGATTTTTTGACTGATTTATTTAATCAGTAGTTTCTTAAGACAAAGATGATGGAATACACAGGTTGCAATGAAGAGGGATATAGTTCTCCAAAAGCTACATCTTTTCTTGGAGGTATCTGTAGTGGGTTGACTCCAGCCAGCTGCCAAACTCCCACAGACTTGCTTAATCCCTAATCAGCCCCCAGTGGAATGGGAGAGAATATAGGGAGAGCAAATGCAAGCAAACTCATTGCTTGAGATAAAGACTTGATTAGGGGACAGAAAGAGAGGGAAAAATTACAACAGAAACCAAGAACCGGTGATGCAAAGGTGTCTATTCCCCACTTCCTAAAAGCAGGCTACTAATGCCCAGCCAGTTACAGAACAGTGTCTGCCTTGGAAGACAAAACTCCCCACACCCATCTTTCCCTACCCCAGTTTTATTTCTGAGCATGACACTATATGGTGTGGACTAACCTTTTGGCCAGGTGGGGTCCCATCTATCCTTGCTGTGTCTCCTCCCAGCCTCTTGCCCATCCCCAGACAACCCTGGGAGGGGAAAGAGTAGGAAACAAAAAAGCCTGGGTGCTGTGCAAGCACTCTTCAGCAACAGCTGTAACACGGGTGTGTTATCAACAATTTTTAGCCACAGATCTAAAACACAGCACCACGCAGACTGCTGTAAAGAAAGTTAATTGCATCTCAGCCAGACACAGTACAGGGACTCATGTACTTCATTCCCTACTTCTGTGTAATTTTTTATGGTACCTACTGAAGGTCTGTGCTCCCTGTGTGCTAGTGTCAGGGATGTACCATGCCAGTAATGTTCCTGCAATCATCTCTGATTTCTCTTACAACCAATCCACTGTTTCTCCAGCAAATTCTGCTACATGTCAAGTTTGAGACTGTCACCCTGATTATTAGATTTACCTGGGATTTGTGTGTAATTGCTAAGCTTCCTGTTGTTCGTCCCCTGCCATGTAGTGAACAATGACAGAGTATCTCCCTGACCTTTGGTGGGATACTGAGATGGGCATTACTGGGACTGGAGTTCTTGTGCATGATGAATGGCCAGGTGTGTACTGGTGAATTCAGTGTGCTCAGGACTGTTCCCTGGGAGTGAGCCCTACATCTGAGTTCTCCAAATTAAAGACTTCCCATTCAGATGGCCAACCAAGAGTTGTTTTGGCCCATTCCACAGTGTCCACTAGCTCTATTGTGCCCTGTAATTGTTTTAGTATCACATGGTGCTTGCTGTTGTAACTCATGAATATTTCTCCCTGATCTTTTCTCTGTGGTGCCCAGTGACAGGACCTGAGGAAATGGAATGAAGCTGTGTCAAGGGAGGTCTAGGTTGGATATTAGAAAAAGGTTCTTCACCCAGAGGATGGTTGGGCACTGGAACAGGCTCCCCAGGGAAGTGGTCACAGCACCAAGCCTTACAGTTCCAAAAGCATTTGGACAATACTGTCAGGCACATGGTGTGATTTTTGGGAGTATCCTGTGCAGAGCCAAGAGTTGGACTCAGTGATTCTTGTGGGTCCCTTCCAACTCAGGATGTACAGCATCTTGGACCCTTGGAGAGAGGTGGTGTACTTTAGCCAGAATCAAAAAATGTATTTGTCCATTATCAGAACATACTGTAGTTTTAATTAGAATTACAGAGGGGCATTGATTTTTTTATCAGCCAAAATCAGTGGCATAGGTACCATTAACTCCAATTAGTTTGAAATACTCCTAAAATATTTAGGACTTTGCTGTGAGGATTTATGGTTTGTTTCCACAGTTTTGAAGGCTGTTTTGATGTTGGATTGTTTTGGAGGAGTTAAGGAGGTGTCGGGAAAATCAGCAGTTGGAGGCAGAGGAAGGACTTTTTTCCTGTATTGTACACCAGTAGTTATAGTCTACTATTTTCTTCTTTCACATATTAGTATTTTGACATATTTACTTCAATCTGGTTTATCCCACGTGTGCTTCCCTTTTATGTTTGCCTGCCCCTGTTCCTCCACCTACTACGTATGTACACAGATAACTGGACATTCCAACTAGGGAAAAGGAGGGGAAAATATTAAGTCTTTGTGGAAAAACTGAATGTATTTTAGCCATATTCATAAAGCACTGAACTCTGCATTCTGAGAGCCCTTCAGATACCTCTCTGTGTGGAGGGTGTGCTTCACTGACACCGAAGTTCATCCTGGCATCACATTCAGCTGCCCCCGGCTGTGTGCAAGCCCACACCTTTAACACGTTTAACAAAAAACCATGTGCTCCTGATGCCCTCTGTATTGTGGGCCATGTGAAGCTTCTTGACATTCTGATATGCATTACCTATGGTAATAGGTAAAGTCCACAACCTGCCAATACCAGAGGAAGAAAATTAGTAATATAAAGGCTTTTGCCAGTAGGTTCTTAGGGCCTACATCTGCAAGTCTCTGACTAATACCCCACAATATTTTTATAAAGTGGGTCATGTTCCAGACTACACAAGATAAAAAAGAGGAAAAAAAGAAAAAATAAAATCCAACTTTTCAAGCCTTTTTAAGTGGAAGTTTGTCCTGAACAAGGAATAGAAGGATTTGATTCTGACTTTAGGTTTGGACCACTGAGATTTTCCCTGTATTTTGAAAGGTTCAACTTTATTTCCTTTCCTTCAGAAGAGGCATCCTTCTAGTTCCAAATTATAAACTTTTGTGCATTAATATCGTAATTGTTATCACCTTCTGTAGAGTCCCATGGTTAAAGCTTGCCTTATAACTCAAAATGCTCTGTTGGACATCAAGCTGCTAGGTATTAGTCTTACCTTAGTCTGACCTGACATGCCCATCAGAACTGATGAAGAGTTCAAAATGTACATCGCTGTTGGCACATATTATCCAGCAAGAAAACAGCAGCCAAAGTTGCAGTGTGTCCCTTTGTTATTTTTGCAAACTGCAAACAGTGTTACATGACATGAGCATATTCAAAGGAAACAAAGTGAGGCACTGCCAGCAGGCAGAAGGAAGGAGAGGCCCCTGACAATCCTGTAAGGAAGTTATAAATTTGCTGTCTCATTTGTCATGCTCAGTCCTGCACATCTTTCCACTTGTTTTTCAGGACTCTCCATCATGTAAGTGATGGCATTTTTCTACAGAAGCTATTTGACAAATACATCTCTGACTGTGGCAAAATGTGAATCATGACAAAACTAAATTGTCTGTTCCAGGGTCTTACCAGCAACACCTATTCCCCAAATAATATCAAAATAATACCATCCACTATGTGTGCAAATAGTAAAAAAGAAAAAAAAAAAGCAACATTGCCTACAAATTTGTATATTTAGGATTATTACTTCCACCTCAGAAGTTCAATGAACAGACCCTCCCTTTGCTTTCAATCTTTAAATCTTGTTAAAAGGCTGAAGTTTTATAAAGGAGCACTGAAAGTTTATTGGTAGCTTTCACTAAAGTTTAGAGAGGAAAAGTTACATTCTACTTAATTTTCCTCTTAAAAAGGAAAATATTAGTGTTGCTTTATCCTCCCTTGCACCTGTAAAGAAATTTTCCTGAAGCTGTCAGTGAGATACAAATGGAGAAGGAAAAAAATACCTGTATAATTTTAACAATAGAGGATATGATGGAAAAAAACTCACAAAATTACTTCCCATACCTGATGTTAAGTAGTCAAAGGTAATTTCTCCTAGGAGCAGATGGTGCAGCTGGAAGAAGGGAGTAGCTGGGAGCCCTGGGAAGACAGTGTGGGAGAATTTGTTCAGGGAAAGAGCAGAATCTGGGGAGAATAGAGAGTATTATTCCTATTTTCATCTCATAGGACAGAGCACATTTGAAAAGTTTGGGTCCGAAGGATGACATTGTTTAGGAAAGTGTGGGTGAGCAGTGCTGCCACAAGCAGAATGGAAGCTTCAGGCAAGATTTATCAGGGAAGGAAGCCCTCCAATTGAGTCACAAGGTGCAGAAAGGACCCCCTCACTCTGGAAACTCCTTCTCAGAGACTAGTCTGAATAGGGCTCCATCTAGTCCTAGTCCCAGACTTGGCCAAGAGTTTATTTCTTAAGGTTGATATAGATGTAATTGATACTTTATATGACTTCATCATGCAGGATTAAGGATGGCAAACCAAATATATTTATAGGAATAATACAAATATTTAAATTATTATTATTATAACAATTAAGCTAAAATATTTTTATCAAAATTATTTACCAGATAGTATAGATATTTGTAACTAATTATACTGGGCACTATTTATTAAATATTTTTTTTCAAAAGTAGCTTAATAATCATAAAGTATAGATTGGTCTTACTAATCCATATCAACGCTTTGGGCAAATCTCTTCCACTTGGCCTCAAGAAATAACCTTGAGGGGTGTCCCCACTCCAGGGAGGAATTGCCACATACATATCTAGAAGGAGCATGTTAGAAGTCCCTGCCATTAAAAAAGGGACCTGAGCTTTTATAGTGTAAAGTCGAATGTTTCTAGGCTGTGTATGCCAGCTCAGCAGCTTTAGGTAAGTTATCAGTACTATCACGTGTTGCTTCCTTTATCAGGAACTTCGTGTGCCACATCCTCACCAGTGCTGATTTTTGTCAGGCAAGACTGTTTTTCATGTCCCTAGAAGGTTTAGCTTTGGCATTGTGGGGTCAGGCTGGTCTCAGCATTCCTGAACACCTAAAGCAGCATGACCCACCTTCTCCATCCATCACTGATAACTTAGGCAAATGAGAGAAAATCTGAGCTGTTTTACCAGCACTTAGACAGAGTATCCTGCTGCATATGTGGCCACTTGTTCAGCAGTTCAGCTGAGAAATCTTAGAGCATTTAGGAAGCTTGTGTAAAAGCAGGGCTGTATTTCACTCCTCTTACATCCTGACTGCACTTTGCTTGGATGAGTTTGTTGGACACTGCCAGGTTCTGCCCCCTTACTGGCCCCTGTCTACTGTCCTTGTTTGTGAGGTAGCTGCCACTTAGTTTGTTCCCATCTCTTGGACAGCTGCTTTGGAAATCTTACTGGATCTTTACATTGCAGCAGCCAGGGCCAAGCTTTGTGTAGAGCATAGAGCTGACCCTCTGAGGTCTCCACTGCAGAGAATATACATCCACAAAATGGAGAAAGGCTTTACACCCCTTGTCATTGCACCCTTCTGCGGATTGTCTTAAATCTTTATGTTTCAGCACAGTATGTTTTCTGATTTGGCTTGCTGGCAATACCTTGCTCTGGTTTGGCATGTCAGCTAAAGATATTTGTTATGAGCTTTTTTTGCTAAATATTAAAATTCTACTGAGGTTTTCCCTGCTGTTGGAGCCTGGCCAGTGTGTCTTTTAGCCTGCAGCTTGACCAGATTGTTCTTCAAAGTGACAGACACAGTGGGCTGACTATTCCTTGCCTTCCTTTATAAAATTCTTTTAACACTGTAGTTCCTGACATTCCCCTTGTTACTCCTCACTCCTCTCTACTCTCTCTGCAAAGGAAAGAGCCTTGAAAATTGTTAAATGGAGGCAGCTCATGTGTCCTCTTTGTTCTCTGTCTTCCCTGCTAGCAAAGATACTCACAGGTCATATTCCATACAAATGTCACCGTTCTTCTCTTCCACTAGGGGCTCAGGATCTGGATCGCATCCGTTTGTCCACCTACCGAACAGCGTGCAAGCTTAGATTTGTTCAGAAGAAATGCAACTGTAAGTATGCCAGCACTTCTTTCACCTACCATTGTCACAAGCTTTCCACTGCACTCCCTGGTGTCCTTCACACCACTGACAAACTAGGACTGTGTGATCTGGCATTGCAAAGCACACTAATTAGAGTGCCTGCACAGACTTCAGATATTAACCTGTTTACGTGAGGAACTTGCCTCAAATATGCCAGGGATTTGGTCATAGAAGGCTGGGTCAGGATACAGGCCACAACTTTAATTAATAAGTATGTTAATTGCATTCTCCAGTGTTCTTGTGAAATAGCATTTGTGAGTGTCAGCAGGGCCCTGCAAATTAAATGCTTTTATAGCAGCTCTGTGAGAAAAATGCTGCTTGTAGTCCTCTTTCATTTAGGGTGCAGCAAAGTGCAGTGTTGGTCAGACCCCTCTATTTCCAGAAGGCCAGGTAGACACAGCTCTTCTGAGAGAGTGAAGCTGCTTGTAATCTCTGTGTATGTGTCTTACTCCCTCTAGGCTTTATTGGGACATTTCCCACTTGATTAGTGACTTTTTTAAACTTCTCTTCTGAGATTCAGTCTTTTTCCCTTTACAGCTGCATTTTCTATTAGCACAGTCATGTGCTGTGAGCTTTAAAGGGGAAATACATATAAAATCTATAATGAAGTGTATCCTTTCTTCTCCATCCAAAATAGTATGCAAATACTTAAAAGGGAAGGTTTGGGTATATGTGCTTTACTGGACCTTTCCACACCAACTTAAATAAAAATCTTAACCAAGGGCACTCTTGTCAGCAGTAGCAGCAGGGAGAGGACCAACACAGAGAAAACAAGTGGGTTTTAGTCCTCACATATAGATTAGAATGACAACCTGGCTGTGCTTGTGCTACACACAGTGGTAAGTATGTTAAAAAATGCTCACTGTAGATAGAAATTTACTGCTCTGTTAAGTTCCTAGTTTCGGGGCTACATCTGTCTGTGTTACAGAAATGTTTACTTATGCTGTCCAAACATACTGAAGAGGCCGAGTTGTGATGGAAAAATATTTTGGAGAGTATTTACTGTGTTATTAGCCATGGAGCTGATTGTTTAATGACTTTTGTAGCACACTTCTCATATTTTTAATATTTTTAATATGTCCTTAGCTGAAGTATGAATTGAAGGTTTGGTACCACATTATAAGCAGTCTGCCAGACACAAAACCCAGGGGGGTTTAGTACCTGCCCAGCAGCTGGCATCTCCCATTCAGGAGCAAATGTGTTGAAAGACACATTATTATGTTGTATTCGGTTGTTTATTTTTTTAAATCTTGTGTTTAGGAGGATGGCATTTTCACTTCTTTTTCATGCTGACAGAATACAGTAGTCTGAGGTGACAAAAATATCCAATTAAATGGATGGTGATAGCAAAGTATGTATGCAAGTGCATGCAAAGCAAATGAAAAAAACCTGACAGGTAACAATAGCTTCACTGCTGGGAGTGTCTGGCTGGCTGCAGATATACTGGTTGTTAATCTTAATTTTGTGCCTCTTATTTATCAACTGTGATCTGCTTTTTGTACAACTGTTGGTTCTCTTCGTAGAGAATTAGTGCAGGTGCCCTGCAGTTTCCCAGCTTGTGCCAAGTTGCTCATGGACAGGACTTAGCTTCTGGTCTCCACTGATAACCTAGGAGTAATTTGCTGATCTTATTTAAAGATTTATACTGTAACAATATCTTCTTAAGGAAAAAAAATAAAAGGAGAAACTTAAAATGCCATCCTAAGTATTAGGTTCTGGGCAGCTTAAGGAATAAGTTGCTGCTCTGGAGCAGGGTAGATTGTGTGTCTTTTCAGCATCAAGTACAGTTTTCTTCATTATTTCGAGTAGACTGCTACTCTCCCAGATGGGTTTCTCTTATCAATGGGAAAAGAAGTAATTCATTCTCCTGACAGGTATTCAGGCAATGGCTGTCCAAGAAAGAGCTGCTAAACTTAGAAGCACTGAACTGAGCACTGCCCTTGAAATGGTTAATATCAGACCTCTGGCTCATGTCAGCTACTGTTTTGGGTTTGTTTTTTACCCCCTACAGATATTGTCATTATGCAGCACCCAACAGTAATGAGACAAAAAAGAAAAAGGAATCATGGGAGGGAAAAAGCCTTTCTGCTGAAACTGGTTCATATAGGGTAGAGTATAACAAGAAAAAGCTCAGAGACAGTTCTGCTCCACTCTCAGTTCATAGCACTTCCTGTCACTCAGGCCATCCTTGTCTTCTTTCAACGATGCTCTCCTGCCCTGCCCTGGCACACTGGCCCAGACTTACTAGGGAAAAATTGCTTGGAAAGACTGTATTTGAGGGGTTCTTTTAGATTTAATTGAATAAATTGCAGAGAGCTGCTCTTGGCTACAGGCTGAAGGTGTATGAGGATGGAAGCAGAGAGCTGTTTTGAGTGCCAGAAGTGTTTGTTCCAAGGAAAGCAGAGCAGAGGCTTTATTAGCACCATCTTTTTTACCCGGAGGTGCCCATTAGCATAGGCAGTCATGGGATATCGTTTAACAGGCAGCCACACTTATCACACACAGTGCACTGTTTGTTTCTGCTGCCGTTAATGCAGACACAGGTTCATCTCCTGGCCTCCCTTTGTGAATTCTTCTCTCAGTACAAAAGCGGTTTTTTTTCTGAAACCTTCAGCAGCAGGCTGTTTTACTGGCAAAGTAGGCAGTGTGCAATGGGCAAAAATCATATTCTGAGAGCCATTCTCTCTTGCAGAATTTCTCCTGAAACTAGTTAAATTATCTGGGCAAAAATTACAGAGAAAATGACAGTTTACCACCTTTTACCAAGATACCACTACATATGTTGCACCTTGAGTACTGCCACTGTTGATCAAATAATTTGCTTTGTGGAATTTTTTCATTTTCATAAGAAGAAGATTTCTTTGCAGATATTTAGCCAGCAGTCTTCAAAATTGCAAATAAATATCTTTCTGATAATTCTGTAAAGCTTTGGAAAAATACTCTGTGTGTGGGAATTATTTCTTTTATAAAAATGCCCCTGAGCATTTTAAAGTGTCAGTTTAAATACAGTGGTCAAAATTTGAAAAATCATTATCAATCACTGCAATTATTTGTAAACAGGATGGAATTTAATCCAATCCAGCCTTGTTCTTCAGAAAAGCAAAAAATTCTTCTTAAGGACTCATAAAAAACGTAGATAAATTCGAAAAATATCTGATGTTATCTTTCAAAGAAAAATTCCTGAAAATTTAAGCATTCCTCTTTACCTAAGTTAACACTGCAAATAAATAAATAATAATAACATTTACAAATTATTGTTGCCACACCTCTGAATCTGCTAAGTGCCCAAATGTGGTATTCAATGTGTGACAAAAGTCCCAAAAGCAGGAGACATGTGGAATTCTGAATGCAGAAATCCTAAAAGCTGGGAAACCTTGTTAATTCACCATGAATATAAACTAATTTTATGCTTCTTATTTCTGCTGACAGTTTCTAAAATTGGAAATAATGAAAAGAGAAACTCTGTAGGTAATGTAGGTACTTTTGAGAATGTGGTGGGTATAAAAAGAGATAATTGCAGACTACTTGCTGATTGCTTTGCAGAATTCCTGTAGCAATAGACCTGTTGCAATAGCAATAGTCTTCCCTTAGTTATAAATACCAGCACAAGGCATAGATGCCTTTTCTGGAAAAGAAAAAAAAAAGAAAAAAATCAAATAAATACTGAAGTCTTGACCAGATACTGAGATTTGGCATGAATAATGCCAAATGAATGCAAAGAGTTGTGGACAGATGGACCTTGGAGAACACATTGCTGGTGATTATGTCATCATGAAATCCCAGAATGTAAAAGTCAGGAGTGTGTGAGCTGACTGTGGCCACTTGACTGGTGGATGGTGTTGGATGTACTCTTGGAAACAGCAGCATCCTAATCATTTGAGGCTAAATTTCATTATTTGGGGTAATAAAAGCAACTAGGAAGCAGGTACAGAAACCCGATCAAACATGCTACATACTTATTCCAGTCTGTACTGTACAAAATATACCGAATAGGAATACCTGACTTTGTCATACAGATTTTCTAAATGTGCTTTAAAGGTAGTCCCAGATAGTGCACACTGCAAGAATCAAGGAGGGAGATGGAAAAACTACAGGTGAGCACTGTGAGGTCTGAAACAGCCACAGAATTTGAAAGCCCTGTGAATCAGTGTTCTCTCACCAAGTCAAGCAGGAGAGTCTTGTCCTTGACTCGGCTGCCAGTGCATCAGAGCAGGCTTTGGAGCACCTGAGTACATTCTCAGCAAACCTAACTCCTGCTCAGAGCCCCTTACTGTCAGGAAAATACTGTCTTGGCAAGGCTGATTTGCTGCTGTTTATCCATGGCATCCAGACACAGAAGCATCTTAGGCTTTCCTAAAACAAGGATGAAAGATCAATGACAGCAGTTAGACCTATCTCTCGACATTCACCAGTATCCGGAACCACCAAACCCCACAGTTTATAATTATCCCCAGTGATCATTGTGCAGTTGATTTATTTTAATACTTCTTTCTCAGTGAATTTATTAACATGCTGAGATGAAATACCATGTTCACATGCAAATTCCCTCTGGGGTATGGTGACAACCAGAAGTAGGACATAACATATCATAATCAAAACCATTATACCATTAAATATCACTCACTAATACAGAACTGTGTGGCTGGAAAACTGCTGCTGTCCTTGATGAACTATCCTAAATGTGTTGTGAGATCATTCTGTGACTGTCTGAAAAAGCAGACTTTGCTGATTTCCCTAGATCAGAATAAATCATTGACAGTTGAAAGTGTGAATCAAAAGCAGTGCTGGTGATGGTAACATGTGGCTTAATTAATGCAGACATAAAGAGAGCTTGTTTTTCTGGCAGTATAATCTCAACACCTTAGGGTGTTGGTGTCTTTGTTTCTCCCTTTAATATTGTTTTAGTGTGAGTGATTTTTTTTTTTTTTTATTCTTTTGGCCTATCCAGGTTGTAGTACAGCAGTTTCCAC